GTTGAGCCCTCTTTCATATATGCAACCTAGTAAGAAAGAATAGTACAAAAATCAGTCAAAAGAAACTCATAATTTAGGTCATTATCAATGAAAGCCCGACAGATTTTAGATTTAGTATATTTAAACCTCTTACCTGATGTCCAAGTTCTTGGCACTTGCGCCATATTGCCCGAGTTAGGTGTAATAAACATCCACGGATTCTTATGTTGCCCAAGACAGTCCTGGCAGCCTTCCACGTTGCCAGCTCAAAATCGGCGACAATGGTCGTGACGTCAGGCACAGCAGGTAAGATGCTAATGAGATGTCGCAATACGCTGACGTAGCCACTGGTCCGACGGCGAGACATTATCACAAAAGCAAGAGGCAACATCTTCATGTCCTGCCCAATACGAGCAAAAGCATGAATTGACAATAGTTGAAAGAAGTCTTCAGCAATCTGCAATAACAGTACAAGTTATTAAAATGTTCATTTAAAAGGCGCTCAATTCAAATGTAAACTATAAAGATATATACTTGCATTCAAGACATACTCCGGAAAGCACTGTTACTGAATAATAATTAAGTACCTCAAATGACAAATCCTTGGGCTCCTTTGGTCTTAGTTTCTGTCGGGTTCTGCTTGCCATCCTGATGAGTGATGTCTGGTTCTGCCGACCACCTGGCGCCTCTGGGTCTATTACATAGCAATGCAGATCTGACTGTTCACATAAATCAAAACATATTTAAAATTATTCATGTATTTGTCAATCAAAAAGATGTTCTTAATTATTGCAAATGTTCCACTCTTTCCCATCAGTCTGTTCTTGTCTGTCCATCTTGTAGAATGAGTGTAAATAATATTATGTAAATACTACGGAGAGGGTGTTGTATAACTAGTACCCAATCCTTTTCTCAAGAATAAAATATGTTTAAACAAACAGCTAATTGTGATGTAGGTCGTATTAGTATAACCCTTTGGTGAAACCAACAAACGTTGTGTTGCCGATATAGTTTAAAGCTGGTACTTGTTGTTACCCTGGCTGCCCCTCGGCGTTAAGGAGATAACGTCTGAGTAGAACATCCAAGTTAAACTACGGCATTATGTCACTGTACACCGTGTCCCAATTGCGTAGATCGATGCTCATGATGCTGATCACTGGATCGTCTGGTCCAGGCTCAATATGTTTACAGACCGCCGCCAAATAGCTGGAATACTGCTGAGTGCTTAGTTAAACATCGATCAATCAAACAAATATCTTAGTGGACTATAAACCCGACATAAGTCACGACAGGTACACCCACACACACACCCTCACACGCACGTGACTCCATGCCACCCATTAATCCAGACCCTTCATCATCCGGATTAATGGGTATTCACGTTGTTCCTGAAAGAGAAGCCATTGTTCAATGATGAAGAAACAAATACCGGATACACAGCAAGGAATCGCCACAAAACATGGCAGCCATTAGCACTGGTGAATGAACTGGTTTAGAAATAGGTTCATGCACTCTGAATGAATTACCACACTCGCGTGTTCACTACGCTAGCGTTCCACAAACGACCCTAAGTGGCCTATAAATGTTTTGCGAAATTCCATTCAGTATTTCGAACAATTACCCAATATTGCCCCGAGCCCACACTCACACTCTCGTGTGTGGAGAAACGGCTTATCGGTTTCAAGGAACGCGCGGTGAACAATAGACCTTTGTATTTATATGTAGAGTTTCTTCAAAAATTGCGTGACTGAAATTCTCTGCTGCCCGCACGAGGCCCCAGCACGAGACGTTAGCGCTCCCTTGTGGTCGCAGAGCCTCTGTCACCAAACGGACTAGAGGTTTGGTATGCGGCAGAGGAAGGACATAGTTGTACCATGCCTGTAAAATCTGGTGCTAGGAAGTTGGATCAGTGTACCAATCAATCACCTTCCAGGTATGTGTTGATGTAAATAGCCCCAGGGGGTGATCAGATAGTTTTTACATCTTTTAGGTGAAGTGGGGTGAAGTGGGGATTACGGTCATGTTCAAGATTTTGAAATATCGCACTTAAAAGACGGCGTACGTGCTTCTGAGAACGAGAGAGAGAGGGAGAGAGTGTGTGTGTGTGTGTGAGAGAGAGAGAGAGAGAGAGAGAGAGTGTGTGTGTGTGTGTGTGAAAGAGAGAAAGAAAGTGAGAGGGGAAAGAGAGAGAGAAAGAGAGTGAGAGAGAAAGAGAGGGAGAGAAAGACAAAGAGGGAGAGAGAGAGAGAGACGGACAGAGAGAGGGGAAGTTTGTTTGTTGTTTAACGCCGCACTCAGCAATATTCCAGCTATATGGCGGCGGTCTGTAAATGATCGAGTCTGGACCAAACGGTCCAGTGATCAACAGCATGAGCATCGATCTACACAACTGGGATACGATGACATGTGTCAACCAAGCCAGCGAGTCTGACCAACCGAACCCGTTAGTCGCCTCTTACGACAAGCATGGGTTCTTCTTCACGGGTGAGAGAGAGAGTGACTGGCCTGTAAACGTGCTTTGTTTGTGTTTATGTTTGTGTTTGTGTTTGTGTATATGGGTGTTCGTCCGTCTGTCTGTGTGGCTGTGAATGTGTGTGTTTTTGTGTGGTGGGACCCCACATCTGAACTCATGCTGAAGGTTAGAAATGATAGTTCAGTTATAATGTGGCGGTGTGTGGTCCTGTGCGTAGAGCTCAGGTCACAATCAGTTGAAGTTAAGCAACGTTGGTCGCGGACAGTCCTCGGATGGGTGACCGTGTTTGGCAGCTTGACTCCTGAAAGTTTCTAGGACTTCAGTCCTGCCCCACAACGAAGCACATGTGACGCATGTGGTCTCACCTTAGGCAAGTGAGTTTGTTCAAAATTGCCTCTGTCCACTCAGCAGTGAAATTGGGTACCTGGTATGATATGATGGTAGTCTGAATTTGAACTTTGAGCGCCTGACAGGCGACCGGTTGTATTCTCCACATGGTGTGTTCTGTACTCGTTGACCAGGGGTAATATGTCAGCGCTTTGAGCATGCAATGCGCATGGATAAACGCGGAATATAAATGGACTATTATTATTATTATTATAGATCTCAGGTTCCTCAACTGCCAACGTGTTTGCTTGCAATGTGGAGTTTGAATCCATGTATGACGTGCCAAAGCACATGCGGCGAATCAAATGAACTCATCAGCGTGAGGGACACACTCACGTGTATCGTGATTATCGACCCTAAAAATGTGCATTCATACCAAAAAAAATACATTAGTTTTTCGTTCCGCTCCCGATTGTGCATTTTAATATCTACCCATTGTACATGCATTCATTGTCTCTCTCAGTGTCACATCTTCCGAACTGAGATTAATTATAATATTCCAGAATGTACTAAAAATGTCCATCTTCGAAATCCCCAATTACATAACACCCCATCATCACAAAGAACGAACACAGTTGCACTCAGTTACAATACCAAGAAGGTGATTTTGTCACTATAACACGAAATCTCAGCCACTTACATTTATTCACGGAAAACTGTTACATAAGTAATAATTGAAATGAATACGACAATATACTGTTACAAGCAGCAACAAAAAGCCGTTCTCACGGGCCAGCTGCAGCTGGTGATAACACCACCGTGGCCAAGTATAGCGTCCCGTCCCACAACTTAATCTGAATACCATAACATGTGTTTATCCCAGGTTATCGATACTGTAGCAATATTCTCTATGTGATATCACGGTGCCCACTGTAGTGTTTGTGTCAGCGGGGCTGGTCTAACCCCAGGGGCTAGGTCAACACTCCAGTAACCCTAGTGTACACAAGGCTTCAGATACCGCCTAGATGGGATTAGTTACATGCAACACTCCCTAGGGTCTGTCTCCAAACCCGACTGAATTTATTTCAAAGACGAATCCAACGCAAGTCGAGAATGACTTGGGAAGTCGAGTCTGAAATTAAACATCGCTCTTGGGTCTAGATATTGATATATAGATATATGTTTAAATACGATAACAGTATTTCTGTGCATATATGCATACAATATAGAACAAACTTTATGGATAACCACTTCTTTTTATTCGTGAGTGCGACGTTTCGATACAGATTCTTGTACATGCTACAACGGTACAAGAATCCGTATCGAAACGTCGCACTCACGAATAAAAAGAAGTTGTTATCCATAAAGTTTGTTCTATATTGTACTTCCCAACTTCTAAAATGCCACTCAAAGAAGCATATATGCATACACACCTACACACACCTGACTTTGTCCTCAACAAATGATATAGTTTTACGTTTTATATATGTTTTTGGCTTTTGTTGTTTTAGATCATATTCTTGTCCAATGAGAATGTAAATACGGGTTTTCTAATAGGAATCAGCAGAATATGAATGTAAGATACATATATTATAAGATGTATATAAGGATGGTGAAGAATGGTATAACAACGATGTATGCATTCTGACAGTGCATACGTTTAATTCCCGACAGAAATTCTGCCATTTGTCCTTCATGCAGTTGTCAGATACTACATCCTACAGGATGTCATATTTCATTTTTTAAATAAAAAGGGTGTACTGTTTTTTCTTAACTGGGGTTATTATTGTATGTCGTACGTAAAATCTCCGAACCTGGACGGCTATTCTCGAAACGTTCGTAGTCCTATGCACTTCTTAAGCCCATTATTAACACATTGGCTACGATCAAAATTAGGATTCTTAGGGCTACGAAAGTTTCGAGAATAAGGGCCCAGGCCGGCTATTCTCGAACCGTTCGTAGCAATACGAACTTCTTAAGCCCATTCTTAACACATTGGCTACGATCAAAGTTAAGAATTCGTAGGGCTACGAACGTTTCGAGAAGAAGGGACCAGGGTTCCGATCAACAAAGCACTCGTAACGTTACGACTCTACAGTTTATCATAGGCTTACGAGTGTCGTAGTGGTCCCGTAGTGGATCGGGACCCAGCCCCCAGCATCTCCCCGTCATCCTTGCATCATCCCTGCTTCTCTAATGTATGCTGTCTCCCATGTTTCAGGTCTCGCAGAGGAAGTTTCTCCACGTCCACGTCGTCCAGTGACGGTAAGTAACGTCATCGTGACGTCAGGGCGGCGTTCACGAACACCCGGCGTCATCACTGATTTTAGAAATCAATTCATACAATGTCTCAAGCTATTTCCCTTTACGTCAACAGAAATTGGTTTCTGAGGATAGTCAAGACTGGGTATTCTTCCGCAGAGACGTTCTTTATTATGCATAGTGATTAAATTTCAATGAAAATATAAGCAGGCAATTTGAGATCGGGACTACCACGGGAATAGATCTCGGGGTTAGTGTAGTTTACCACAATTTTCGATACGTGGATCGTCACTCGTACTATCAAACATTATGTAGTAACCGTACAGATCTATAGTCTTCATGGAACCTTCCCAATTGTGCTTTACTACCATACCTTAGGAACAGGGCTATTGAAGCCATTTAAATATTGAATATTGTTAGGATCGGTGTTTTCAAGAGCCTTATTTTTCATTTAACGTATGGTTCTTCACCATACCTAAAGTTTGACATGGGCGGTGGGGTAACCTAATGGTTAAGGCGTCGGCTCGTCACGCTGACGATCCGGGTTCGAATCCCCACATGGGCACAATGTGTGAAGCCCATTTCTGGTGTCCCCCACCTTGATATTGCTGGAATAAGGCTGAAACCGGCGTAAAACCCAACTCACTCACTCACTTACTCAAGTTTGACATGTGATACCTTGTGTCTGAATAGACATGGTTAAAAAACAGGGGGTGCTTAATTAATTTCTCGGTGTATGTATAAATACTTTATGTACAGTACTATTCAACACTTGCTTGAAAACGGTGTTAGCATCTACAGCGAAACGTTGCATATATTGTATCAAAGACATTGTATATCCATAGAACCACCCCTCTTGTTCATCACACCAACTTCTAAAAGTGTAAATGTCCTTTCACGTTCAGAGCAGCGGTATAAGTAAAGGACTAGGTCATGGGTCACTATTTGAGTTGTACACGAGCCATATACAACACTTCTGTTTCAATATCCCGCCTCACAGCCAGTTTGCCTTTCACTGTACCCATGCGCCTCCCGTGTGTATCAGGGGCAAGGCCTGTCGCCACCCTCACCCATACATTCCCATCCCACACTGCTTCAAAGGGGGAAGGGGCGGGGCAGTCGTTGAGCCAACATCATCACTGACCCCCGGAACAGATCAGCAGGTGCCAACAGCCGTCCTCGGCCACTATCGTACTTGTCTATCTCTTCCTATCAGCCTTCCAAAAGAGGGAGGGTGGGTAGCCTCTAGGTTAACGCGTTTGATCATAGTTTGTTTGTTGTTTAACGCCGCACTCAGCAATATTCCAGCTATATGGTGGCGGCCTGTAAATAATCTAGTCTGGACCAGACAATCCAGTGATCAACATGATGAGCATCGATCTACACAATTGGGATACGATGACATGTGTCAACTGTGTCAGTGAGCCTGACCGCCCTATCCCGTTAGTAGGCTCTTACGACAAGCATGGGTTGCTCAAGCCTAATGCTAACCCTGATCTTACGTTCGATCATTGCCACGAAGGTACAGGTTCGGATCCTACTTCAGTATTATATGTGAAAGCCATTTCTTGTGTCTGGCAACATGATATTGTGGGAATGATGCTAAAGCGACGGAAAACCCACTCACCGAGAAGCATTCCAAAACTAAATGTATATAGAGTCATACCTGATCCACATATTCCATCTATTTTAAGATAATTCATTGTTTATATCAGTTTTCCTGATTCTATGTTTGTCAGGATCCACTCTTCGTAAGAGTCCCATGTCCGTTCTGTATAACCGTTGGTCCTTTATTAAGCCCCTAGCTTTCCCCTTATTAATCTGTTGAACCAAGTTATAACCGGGTTTCTGCTCGTACGTCGACAACATCCAGTCTTCCCCTTGACGTAACAACAGAGTTCGATCCCCTGCCGCGTGAAACCAAATCACGTTCAAAGATGGTACTTGATGTTACCCTGACTGTCGTTCGGCAGTAGTGGGACAAAACAAGAACTGGTCGGTTCAGAGTCAGTATGTTGTGTGTGTCTTCAATATTCATGTTTAACTGCGTCATCTCAGTGGGCTGGAGCTATAAAACTGGCATTGACACCGACTAGTACAAGCAATTACACACACACAAACACACCTGCATGCACACCGTCAGATAAATACCATAATCTTGCAAACGACGTTAAACCCTATCTTACCTCATGTAATAACTGATACAGAGAGAGAGAGAGAGAGAGAGAGAGAGAGAGAGAGAGAGAGAGAGAGAGAGAGAGAGAGAGAGAGAGAGAGAGAGAGAGAGAGAGAGAGAGAGAGAGAGAGAGAGAGAGAGAAATTATTTTTTTATTGTGTCACACAGATGTTTACATAATAAATAAAATCTTCTGTATCACATATGAAACATCTGCCCGGCCTTTACAGGCCTACGAGACACATAAAATCCATAAAACAATGCATAGATAAAATATCCCTATACACACATATCCCTATACACACATAGTAAAACTTAGAGATAAGATGGATGGTGTAATATCATATGTTATAATAATTTTCTTCTTTTAAACATAAGTAACACTGAAGCAGCTAAGGAATATACTAGGTTATCACAAACGACAGATAATCCGGATTGTGGCGAATCATTGCCACCTTTTTTCAGTGTAAGGCTGTGGTGTATCACACCTTGACAATAAATCTCTTTTGTTCCCCAAGCCTCAAACCAGGACGGCAATTGTCTTCCCCTTGCCCGCCCATCAGTTCTCTACTGTCTCACAGTCTAACGCCCTTAAACGTTAACAGTAAACTGCTAATTTGAAAATTCCCTCTGAGCCTCTATGTCAACTAATGAGCTCTCTGTACATTGATTATTTTCAAAAGGTAAATACATCGTCTTGGCAGAAGAAATCGACGTTTGTTGAGATTAAGCCGCCTAGAGATTAAACATGATAATCCCCACAAGTCCAAGCCATCTCACACTCTCTCACATGGACTGACGGAGGCGGGCCAGTGTCCGAAAAGTGGACAGTTTCTCGGGCGGTCTTCGCTGAAGCGACCACAGCTTTACAGACATGTTCAGGGCCTAGATTTGATTTTACCCATTGCCCTGTTTCTGCGTTCATATGTTGGTTTTCCCCTCTCTGCTGCAAACTGAAAGAAAGCATACACCTTAAAAATCAACATCATAAAAAATTCACATTTCACATACTATCAAGCTACAAAATATAGTGCTTTTTAACATGCGCAAATGACAAGTTTTATGCGTTCTAGCCATCATTCCATAATTTATTTGAAAGAACCTAATATTTTTTTAACCTGTTATTTACGATTGTGCTGCATTTTGATCCAACCTAACAATCTTTCAAGCATTTCATGTCATATAATATCGTCTAATATTTAATAAGTTAATAATATGTGTAAATATTTGTCATGAATAGCTCCATCCTGTCATCTGTATCTGTACTAGTATTCACTGATGTTTATATTTTGTAAATTGTACGGAGAACATCCTAAACTTTGTATAACATGAAGTGGAAATATTTATATTTAAAAATCAAAATCACATCAACTGAGTAGCGCATCTTGTCAGCCAGCGACTAGGTATACTATAGAACACGTGGTGTAGGTGTGTGCTCTGTTCTTCCTATGTTTGCGACTCCTTGCAAATACCTGATATTTAGGCGGAATGAAGATATTGATGTTCCCGTTTCTTTGATAAAGACTAAAACGAATCCATTTATTGAACAGGCATGGCATACGTTTCTGCCTTAATTATTCAAATATGTAAATGCACACGAGATTCATCTGCTAAAATCAGACTCGATTGTACACATTGTAGCATGTGTTTATGAATTACTGTCCAATAGTGGTGACGTAGGGTGTAGGCGAAAAGTTTGGCATATCCTGCCGCATCGGTCCGCCTGCTACAAACACATGCAGCGGCAAGTCAGGTATTCACCTTACAAACACCCCGTGAACATTGGTACAAAACTGTCATATTTCTGATAATTACATCTTAATATGTACACAGTGTGTATGGCTTGTAAGTCACAATCAAAACACTTTTCAAAATATTAAATTTGTGTTTTGGAAAATAATCCCCAAACAGATGTATACTTTCTTTTGTACGTCAGTATTGCTATTCAGTGTTATCATTTAGGCAAGAAAATCATAAAATACTCAAAATTATTTCATTATGTATTTTATTATCGACATTATTCATTGACAACAAAAACACACACAAAACTGAAACAGTTCTGTTCCCATGAGATGACCTAACCTAACGCGATAAAAAATAAAATAATTTAAATTAGATGATATCAATTCCGACACAATGCAGGAATCGTTGGTGACGGTATCACCAAGTGCGAAATTCAGCTGACGATTACACAGTCTGGTGCAAGATCCTAATGCCCGTGTGTACACAGCAAAAGTATTTCTCATTTTGTTGTTGAGATAAACGACAAATAGGAGACAAACACGCTGTGAAAAAAGCTCTTTGTATGAAGAACCCGTGAAGTCATCTGATTGAATGCACTCAACAAAATCATTGTGGTATATCGTCATCACCTTCCAGACGCGAGCAACCGGAATTTTAAAAAATCAATGAAACCGGGAATCTCCTTATAACGCGCTATCTAGTTGTATATTATGGCGGTATAATAGTTTAATTCCGTGATCAAGTAGGTAGTTGTGTCCTCATACAGTTACTGTCAGCTACAGTAAACTTCTTTTAACGCGAACACGCTTATAAAGAACGGATATTACGAAATGTTTTGGCCCCGGACAATGCGTTTAGAGTGAGTGAGTTGAGTTTTCAGCAATATTCCAGATATATGGCGGCGGTCTGTAAATAATCGAGTCTGGACCAGACAATCCAGTGATCAACAGCATGAGCATCGATCTGCGCAATTGGGAACCGATGACATGTGTCAACCAAGTCAGCGAGTCTGACCACCCGATCCCGTTAGTCGCCTCTTACGACAAGCATGGGTTACTGAAGGCACATTCTAACCCGGACCTTC